TTTTGTGGTCAGGTGATGGCCAGAGTGAGAGGGGCTCTCCCCAAAGCTCTGATTCTATAAGAAAGAAGGGGGGAGGAAAAGAAAGGAGGATCCCTAATTCAGCTGTGATTAAGTCACTGCCATCTCAACAGAATGACATCTTATAATATTTGACCCCATTTTAGATAAAAGTTGTATCATTTTAAGGACTGTATCATAGGATATAGTCTTATCATAGTTAGAATGGAAAGTCATCATTGGAAATTTTTGAAAGTTATCTTCTTTGTCCAGCCAAGTTATAAATGGAGGTTTATATCTACAGCTTACATGATGAGTCGCTTCAGTCATGTCTGTCTCTTTGAGACCCCATGGACTGTAGCCCACCACGCCCTTCTATCCATGGGATTCACCAGGCAAGGATACTGGAGCGGGTTGCCATGCCCTCCTCCAGGGGATCGAACCCTGGTCTTTTATGTCTCCTTTACTGGCAGGTGGGTTCTTTACCACTAGCGCCACTTGGGAAGCCCATCAACAGCTTAGATTTTGTAAATGCAAAAACTCAGGCTGGGAAGTTGCTGCGTCTCCTCAAAGCTGAGGACGGAGAGGAGCAAAGGCACAGCCAGGTGTGTCTGGCTCCAAAGCCCACCCTCCCCACCACTGTGATTCGTTATCCAGGGGGAGCAGTTTTCACCCTCTGCCACCCTTCTATGAAGTACAAAAATGGGTTTCAATGGGGTTCCGTTCTAATAAATTCATTGTAAGTCAAAAACATCGTTAAATCCAAAATGCACTTAATATACCCAGCTTATCAAACACCAGAGCTTAGCCTACCGGAAACATACACAGAACACTTACATTAGCCTGTAGTTGCACCAAATTGTCTAACACAAAGGCTATTTAAAGTGTTGACTATCCCATGTAATTTATCAAATACTGTACTGAAAACAAAAACCAGAGGGGTGTGTGGCTCCAGACGGTCGTAGCAGTTGTTTAACCCTCACAATCGTGGGACTGACGGGGAGCTGGTGCCCGCATCACAAGGGAGGATGTACCATGTACCACGAGCCTAGGAAGAGATCAAGATTCAAAATTCAAAGCATGGTTTCTATTGAAAGCATATCAGTTTTGCACCATCTGTTTTTAAATATTTATTTATTCGGCTGTGCTGGTCTTCGTTGCTATGCGGGCTTCTCATTGTGGCGGCCTCTCTTGTTGCGGAGCTTCTGCTCTGGGTACTCCGGCTTCAGTAGTTGGGGCTCAAGGGTTCTAGAGCACAGCAATGGTTGTGGTGCACGGGCTTAGCTGCTCCACGGCATGTGGGACCTTCCCAGACCAGGGATAGAACCTGTGTCTCCAGCATTGGCAGGCGGATTCTTTACCACTGAGCCACCAGGGAAGCCCTGTACCATCTCAAAGTTGAAAAATCCCGAGTCGCACCATCATCTGTCAGGAACTGTCTGCACTGACTCCAGATCAATCTCATGAAGTGATGGGAGTTGTCACTGCCAACGAGATCCCAAGAGCTAAGAAGCTTCCAAGTTAGGAACTTTCTCTGAACAGTTAGTTACTTGGATGCGGTGGCTGTCAAAATCACTAGACCAATGAATGCAGTAAAAACAACAATTTGCATTCTTAAAGCCCAAATAATGCCACCAGGAGTCAAACTGAGATTTTTATGCTGCCATTAAAGCAAAGTATCAGCAATTCCTCAGGGAAAGGGGAAACGGAGAGTTCAAAGGACACATTAGCAAGTTTCTCAATTAAATGCCTAGCAGTAACATGACTTCGTTTTAACACCCTCATACTCAGTCATTTAATTTTTCTTGGAAAAAGGAAAAACCCTGGGAGGGGTGGGTGCGTGGAACCGAACGCCTGTCTAAGCAGACGGAGCAAATGCTTTCTCCAAGAGGCTACCGAGCAGTAGGTCTGATTATGTCTATTTCTGAACAAGAAAATTGATCCATTAAGGGGAAAGGAGGTTTTCAGAGCAAGCACTGAGGAGAAAAACAAAAACCAAAAAGCTGCAGGCAGTGCTCCTGCTGGGAGTTAATGAAAGTTCCACAGAAGAAGTTAGATTCCTATTGGAAGCCACGAGGGCTGAGTTCGCTTCCGTCAAGCTGGAGCGAAGGAATGCGTTGGGGAAAGAGGAAACAAGAACGATTTTTCAGGAGTTTAGAGAACTGATGTTTCAGCTTCTGGGGAAGGGGTGGGGCTGAGTTCTGCTATCCATGAAAGGAGTTTCTCCCCAAACCATCCGTCCTCAGAGGACAAGAGATGCTGGGTGTCTCATCTGACCACGATGGGCACAGCATAGTACAGCCCAAGAGCGAGATCTTTCAGAGAACACTAGAGCGTGGACCCAGGAGGTATTCCGTATGCATAGGACGACTAATGAACACTTCCTCGAGCACTTAGGGAAAGAAGCAGGCGCGGTCACAGTGGACCACAAGACACAGAAAAAAGAGTGATTCTTTGATCAAACTATAGACAGCCTGGGTTTCTTTACTTCCGTCATTGCTGTTCATCAGCACCTATTGCACAGTTAGCACCCAGTCTGAGCTTGTTCATGAATGAGTGGCCACAGAGATGATCATAAGACTGGGAGCCACCTCTGAAGGTCAGTTACTCTAAATCCTCATCCACCAATAATAAACTAGGTAGTGGCATCGCCCTGCAGATAAGCAGTCAGGATGATAAATCCTAGGAGAGAAAGATGGCTGAGATGTGTAGATGGGTGAGCGATCTATACATCTGTCTCTCATGGGAAATCACTGGGAATAAGATAAAAATCTGTCTGTGTGAGTGTGAGCGTGCTCCTGCCTAGGTAGGGAAGAGAAGGGAACACGCACATAAGAACCTATTACTTTAAGACTGCTGGGTGTGCCTTTCCCCGGTGGCTCAGCGGCAAAGAATCCGCCTGCAATGCAGGACACCAGGAGCTGCAGGCTGGATCCCTGGGTCAGGAAGATCCCCTGGAGGAGGGCATGGCAACCCATTCCAGTACTCTTGCCTGGAGAATCCCATGGACAGAGGAGCTTGGCAGACACAGTGGCATTAGCCTAAGTTTCTCTCCCAATTCTCCCAGTGGCCTTGTAATAATAAATCAATAAGACTAAGAGATCATCTAAAACCACTCCCTCCCTGGCCTTGAACAGTCAATTAATTATTCTCTCTCTTTCTTCATTGGTGATTCACACCCGGGGAAACTTTGCATATCTGGATTTGTCCCACATCAGGATGATAAACCTGGGTTAACTTTTGAGATCCTCACCCACCGAGTCCTCTCCCCCCTTCCTCACAATGGGCAGAGATGAGTCCTGCCTTGGGAGGCTGGTTCATTTTGTCCTGGAAAGTTAATAGGCACCAAGCCTCAGAGAGTGGAAGGTGGTGTCCTGAACCCCGAATTAGACGAGGTCCCCGTCCTCGGGGAACTCACACACCCAGACCTCGGGTCCTGCAAAACGGTCACGTTACAGGCCTGCCATCTGCTGCCAGGGACCCACAGATTCCTTTCACTCTTCCAGTGAAAATGTGAAAGTCAGCACCAATCATCATATAGCACTTAGCCATTGCAAAGGTCACAAGTTCCCACCAGGGCATTTTCCCCTTTGAAATGCCTTTGTGGGAACGGACTCCCTAGAACTGGGTATAGGACCGCCTTCACTGTGCGCTATTGAGGGACGTGTCTGAACGTTCACCCACCCCCGCCCACCCCCTGCCTCCGCTCGACTGTCCGACTTGGATTCAACAGTTCGAGGCACCATATGGCAAAGGTTGAGGTCAGACGGATAAAAACGTCTCATTACGCTGAAGCATGGTTAACAAACACTTGAATGTAAATTCGAACACAATGTAAAACTGTGGCAAACCAGGCTGAAAAGAGACTTTAGTTAGGGCAGGAAATCTGTTTCGCAGCTCCACCCCCGCCCTTCCACTTCATTACAGGTATTGTAGGGAAGAAAAGGGGGTTTTGTGTCCTCTCTTGGCAATCTGCAGGCTGCTCTTCGGCCAGATTTCTAATGACTTTTCAATGGTGACTTAAGAGGGTCCGGGCCCGCAAAGTTGGAGTTCAGCTCAGCTCCGTTCTTTCTGTTTGCCCCCCTCCGCTGAGCTGTGCTCACACACGGCACCCATCAGCAGGACTCTAGTGTCAGCAGCTTTTCTCCAAGCCTCTCCTCACAGCTCGCTCTACAAGTTACCATGCTCTCTGAGGCCACTGGTTCAGTCTAGCGGCAAGAGAAACCCCTCCAAGGGGCAACAGTTTAGACTAGAATTGGATCCCTGGCAATTTGTAAAACATCCTTGGTGGTGTGGCCACCCCTGCCAGCAAAAATGGAGCTCCCTGTAACCCCAAGGCAGGGATTTGAACTGAAAACCAACTTTGTCTCTCAAGCCAGCAACCCTCACTCAACACAGACACACACACACACACGCACACACACACACACCAAACAATGCAGTAGACCCTGCTGAAAGGCCCGGAATGCCTCAGCCCTCTCGCGTGGGAAACCTTGGAAGGACATCTGAGAGGGACCCAGGAGAGATGCAGGCTTGGGCAGCAGAGCCCAAGGGATGCGCTGGGACCACATGAACTGCTCACTCGGAAGCTTGCACAGAAGCCTCTTCCTGGGCATCTCTCCGGTGATCCCGTCAGTGATACTCCACCTGCCAATGCAGAGGACACGGGTTCGATCCCCGGTCCGGGAGGCTGCTACATGCTCTGGGGCAGCGACGCCCACGTGCCGCAACCACTGAGCCTGTGCTCGGGAGGTGCTCGCGGGCTGCACCTCCTGACCCTACGCTCCTAGAGCCCAAGCCCCGCAACAGGAGAAGCCAAGGCAGTGAGAAACCCACGCAGCACCCCTAAGGAGTAGCCCCTGCTTGCCGCACCTGGAGAAAGTCCACGCGCAGCAGTGAAGATCCAGTTCAGCCAAACAGAAAAAAATAAATAAAATACAATTTTAAAAAGGGAAAATAAAAGCAATGTCTGCCTGGACCAGACACTCGCTCCATCACCATCTTCAGCCCTGAGCCAGCAGCAGGGCCACCTCCAGCCTATAAGAGATGCGTGTGCAAATGAGGGAACCCGTGACCCCGCACGCCCGTCCGGGGTCATCTCACAGCACACCTGGGTGCACGCTTGGCAAACAGCACAAACTGGACTCCAGCCCCACGTGCCCCCACAGGCTCCACCCGCCACAGGACCCTGAAACCACAAAGACTCTCCTCTCTCCTCAGCCACATCCTTCTCTTCTCAATTAGACCTTCTTCTTCAGGCCCGATAGCCTGCTCCCTGCCCCATCCAACTGCGCCATCCAGATGAGCCCTGGACTCTTTCTGCTCCTGGTTTTCTGAGGCTGAGATGGAGATCACAGTGCATCATTAATACCTGTCTCTTCGTTGGCCCATCAGGCTAACCTGGCTACTGGGTCCTAATAGGTAGCCCACGGTCAGTATCGCATTCCATAAAATGTCTGAAAACGGGAATTTAACCCTTGGTTTCTCCACCCAAAAATGGGAACAATAAAAATCGCCACCTTCATTGTCTTTCTCTTCTGGAAATGTCACGTCAGCACCTGTCACTTTTTCCCTCTGAGCATGCACATCCTGACACCCACCAGTGACAGTTCTCCATGCCCCCCAGGCTGCTACATACCGGCGCGTTTACTAATGAATTAAATAACAGAGGATGGCGAGTTCATGGGTGTTTCCCACGTGGCTGATGTTTTCAGCAGCCTACTGGGCAATTCTCTGTTCTTTGTTGAGCTTAATCCTTCCCACAGCTAATTCAGCGTATGTTCTTAGGCAAGACATTTCTCTCCAGATTGTTTCCTCTTCTGAAAATTGAAGAGGTGAAGAAGATGGTTTCTAAGGTCAAAATTTGTTCTAAAATTTCCCTACTCAATGATCCAAAAGGTCTCTTAAAGATCATGTAAATAGCACATGTTCCTGTAAATATAAGAGACGAAGGAGAATATATTGGGCACACCCAATGTCAAAAGTAAAATGGGGGGATGAATTGGGAGATTGGGATTGAGACGTATGCACTACTGATACTATGTATGAAATGGATAACTAATGAGACCCTACACAGGAAACTCTACCCGCGTTCTGTGGGGAACTAAATGGTAAGGAAATCCAAAAAAGAGGGGATAGATGTAAACATACAGCTATGCACTCCAGTATTCTTACCTGGAGAATCCCACTGACAGAGGAGCCTGGCAGGCTACAGTCTGTAGGGCAGAAATGAGTAGGACATGACTGGGTGACTAAAACTGCATTCACTTTCTCTGTACCGCAGAAACTAACACAGTGGGGTAAAGCAACTAAACTCTAATAAAAATTAATGCTAAAAAAGTAAAATGAGGGGCTTCCCTGGTGGTTCAGTGGTAAGTAATCCGCTTGCTAATGCAGGAGACACGTGTTCGATGCCTGGTCCGGGAAGATTCCACACATCACGGAGCAACTAAATCCGTGAGCCACAACTACTGAGGCCGGAGCACCCACGCTCCCCAGCAAGAGAAGCCGCCGCAACGAGAAGCCTGAACACCACCACCAGAGAGTATCCCCTGCTCGCTGCAAGTAGAAAAAAGCCTCCGCAGCAACAGAGACCCAGCACAGCCAAAAATAAATAAGTAATTTCTAAAAGCCACGTACGTATAAAGGCAGGCAAAATGGGTGCAAGCATTCCACCGGGAAAGGAGCTCATTCACTGATGGGGAAGGGAGGGCTGATAAACAGGCTTGATGACATCAAAAATCAGCTTCCTTCGCTCCAGTCCTCTGCCCTCCCTCACTCAGCAAGCCCTGGTTTTCAGGCAAAGGCTGGTAATTACCGAAACACATTTTGCTCTGCTTTTTTTTTTTCTATCTTACACACGAAAGAAAGAAGTAGGGTAATAGAAATTGATTGGATTTGGTTTCTTTCCCTGGGAGCCTTCAAATTCTCTTATATTATCTGGAAGTGAGAAAAAGCAGGGGAAGAGATGAATCCTATGAACATCCAATCAAAATAGCAAAGTTGAATCTTCTACCCCGGAACCTTTAAAAGGAGTTCTTTGAAGACCTACATCAGAGATCAGCATTGACTTGCAGGGATTTCTGAAGTTCTCAGGCCTATCTTGTGAACCTCCCACACAATCATTTCAAATCGGTCAAGAAAAAAATAGTCATCCTGGGCTCCTGAGGTTGCCAGTGAGGAGATACACAATCAGAGGTGTGTGTGGTACCAGCAGGGTTAGAGAGAAAGGGAAGAGGCTCGGGGCACACAAAGCCACATTCAGGGCACAAATTATTTATCAGAAAGCTTGTGAAATGGCTCTTTCCCATCGCATTAATAATATTTGAATAGAAGTGGGAACTTTCCAGGTCTTCCAACAAGCAGCCAGGGACCTCGCCCCAGCCCTCCTGGTATCCCCCCAAAACTCACCTCCTCACCCCCCACGAATGATTGACAGCCAAGGAATGCGGCCGTGACAGTCCCTTTCATTGCTTTCTTAGGCTCTTTTTCCTCCTTTCTTCCCCACCACGGGGGAAAATACAGGCGAAGGGCAGCGGGAGGAGGGTCGACTGTCTTTTCAACCACAGGCCTCAGAAAGAAAGATTTCTCAGCAGGGCGTGGGGATTGAAGTGTCCGTCACGAGCACCAAGGGCTCGCCTTGGCCTCGGTGGAGGGGGTCGGGAGGATTCCAGCCTCTCTTTCTCCTCGCGTGCCTTGGCAGAGCCCCAAGACCTTACAGGCTTCCCCTCCCCTGCCTCACACGCCTGCCTGATGCCTTCAAACCCCCGCCCCCCCTCAGCAGGCAGAGAGGCAGGGCCCCTGAGGAATGGACAGAAGAGGTCAAGACATGGCCCCCCGGGGCCAGGCAGGGCTGGGGGTGCTGGGCGGGGGCGGGGAGCCCCGCTGAACCATCACTGCTCCTGGAGGAGGCTCCAGTACTATCGCTGCCTGTAATTAAAATACAAGCCTGATAGAAAAAGAGCTTTTCGTCTAAAGGTTTGCTAGAGATGCTGGAAGGATCCCTATACTTGAATGAATTCATCACCGCCAAATGACATATTTATGCCGTGCGCTTAGTTATGCCTTTGCTAACTCTATGATTCTAATTTATTTGCTGGTAAAACACCATCCCCGCTGATGTGCTCTGCTGAGTGTATGTCTGTCAAATACCTACTTGATAAACAAACAACATGACAGATAAATAACAAAGCCCATTGTGGAGAATAGCAATGCATCTCTCCATCCCAGGGACAAACCCTGAGCTGCAGGTGCTTGCTCCCCAAGCTTCATGTGGGAACACCTCCTAGAGAGACCCCAGGCCTCTCCCTTCCCTCCTCCAATCCCCCAGCAACATACCCTGAACCTTAGGCCACAGTCTTCACTTTTCACTGACTGTGTTTCCCAGCAGTCTGACTTCTTTTTGGGTCTAGAGGCCCCCAGAACTCCCCAACAGCACTACTGAACTTACCTCACCACCCCCATCCCCGCCAGCCCCCACGCCCCCCACACCACCAATGCTCCCCACCCCCCACTCCCCCACCAGAAGACTCCCTCATCCTCTGACTCCACGAGCCATTGGCCGGCAGTTTATCCATTCAGACACCAACCGGCAGAGCTAGTAATCCCAGCTACTGTTCACGGAGCGCTACTTCACCTGCCACAGGTCAAGGACGTAGGATGCATGACTTCTATGCCTTGAAAGTATTAGCTGCTCAGTTGGGTCCTGCTCGTTATGACCCCATGGACTGTAGCCCGCCAGGCTCCTCTGCTCATGGGGATTCTCCCGGCAAGAATACTGGAGAGGCTTGCCATGCCCTTTTCCAGGGGATCTTCCCCGACCCAACTGAGCTATGAGGGGAGGCCGCAGGACTACTGAAGTCAATGCAAGTTTTCAGGCTGTCTTAACTAAATGAGAGGGACTGTGCAGCAATCCAATTGGTTTCTCAGAAACCGACTATCAGACAACTGATCCTAATGATCTTTGATTCGTTTTTTTCTTTTTTTTGATGGTAACTATACTTTGCTGAGCAGTGAAGCCCTGAGAGACCCTGGGAGAGTCTCACCATTAATCTTTGCCAGTGGAGTCTTCCCAACTTTCTCTGGGAGGAAATCAGAGGAGGAAGGAGCTGGAAGGAAAAGTGTGATGTCGAGGAGTCCAACCCTCTCACTCTACAGCTGGGAAGACGAGGACAAATGGCTTAGGGAATCCAGCCAGCAAACAAATGCCGTGACACCAGGCCATTCCTCTCCGGGTGACATTTGTTCCTCGGCGTTTCCTCTCCAGCAGCCATCCTTGAAAAAGCCAGTATTCCTCCGGGGCTGATCACAGTCAGGAACTGCAGCACATCTGGCCATTTCTCTGAGTGTCAGTTTCCTAGTCTTTCAAGTGAGTGCACTGACCAGGCGGGGGGCCTCCTAAACCCAGATACATCTGCTCAAGGCAGACAGGTAACATAACTGATGTAAGCAGGCAATTGTGAAGTGATCAGAGTGGTGGGGCTGGGGAGAAATGGAAAACTAAAGGCCTTCACACTTGAATTTAAGACATTAAGCGAAATCCTTTGGCACAGGGTTTGTAATCGCTGACCTTGATGACCCCAGTCCCTCTCAGACCTGGGAGACTCTGATTCTATTATTTTGTTTTCCTCAGCACATTGTTTATCAGATTGATTTACTCTGTGACAGTCAGTTATGCTCAGGGGATCAAGGGAGTGGGGTGATTTTCCAGGGGAGAAATGGGGAAACTTTTCAACTTGAGGATCCCTTCTTGACTAGGCAGCTACCGGAACATAGCTATACTGAACCCTGTCAAACAAGAAGCAGGGAGTACTCTATAAATTTCAGTTTTGCCCTCAGTAATCTCTAATGGAATAACCTGCACCAACTAAGTCCACTGCAGAGAACTTTTCATTTGCAACGAGAAGGGCAGCTCCTGGAACTGTGCAGTGCACAGCCTGTACAATAGTACATGGCAACCCAAAGTGGCCTGACCTTTTAAAAAAAAAAGTTCTGGAGACCTCCAGACCCTAGAAGAAATGCTCAGCTGCTCCCAGGCCTGAGGCAACCATTAACCCAGTTTTCCTACTTTCTGAACCACCAAGTTTTCTTTCTGCTAAACCTCTCCGCCCCAAAGGCATTTAACAGGCCTGGCTATTGTAGCAAAAAAGAGGTGCCTGAGATGAGGAGCATTCATCCGGCATGCACACACCCTCTCCTGAGCAAGCTCAGCCTGGAGGACCAAAGATGACTACATTCCTCCCAGGGATTTCTCTTTCTCTCTTTCAGAGGTGTCTGGCCCCCAGGGATACTGCCGTTCCTTGAACCCTCCTCAGACCTGATCTGTACAAGTTCCAGCCCCTGGGCCCAGCTTTGGTCCCTTCTCCAAGACCTGCCACCGTCCCCAGGGAGTGTGGCCTTCTCAACAGCTTGCTGCCGGCCTGCTGAGCATCCTCCCCAGGGTGGGAGAGAGGAGGACAGCAGCCTTGCTAGAAGGAGTCTCACCTTTCTCTGCCCTGAGGAACCAGGGCTTCTCCATCTGCAGCTGCCAACACTCCCGATGTTACTGTGCGCGTGGGGACCCCAGGACAGCGCCAGCAGGATGAAGTCATAACTGCTGGCAACCCAGCTCCCGCAGCACTGGCTCCCTCCCCGGGGGCCCATTTGCCCTTTTCCAGGGTCCTCCACAACCACTCTGCAAACTCGCTTCTGCAGAAACAAAAGCTTGGACGTCTTGTGTATCCTCAGGGTCTTCTCGTTTTCAGAAAAAACTCAGGGCTGGGGATCAGGACGTCCTTGGCTGACTCAGTCACCAACTGGGAGTTTAACCCTGAACTGGATCAGAGTCTTTCGGCATCTCCTGTCCTCACCTGCAAATTTCCAGGTCCAACAATCCAGGCTGTTAGGAGCCGTGACCCTTAGACTTGTCCAGACCCAACTCCTGTCACTGAAATGTCTGCCTTCCTCCTAAAATCTGAACCGGTGGCCAGTCACTCTTCCTGGGCCCCGCCAAGAGCAAAGGCAGCTCCTCCATGGTCGACTGGGGAGGGGTAACCAGCAAACAGCCCCACCTCAGCTTTCTCCTCCCTCTCCCGCTAATTTGTCTCAATCACAGCATCTTCACCTAGACACTCCACCAGCTCACTTCTCTTTGAAACCGGTTTGGGGCTCATGTCAAACCCTTGCTCTTTGCAGGTGGTGCTAATAAAGAACCCACCTGCCAATACAGGGGACATAAAAGATCGCAGGTCCGATCCCTGGGTCGGGAAGATCCTCTAGTGAAGGAAATGGCAACCCACTCCAGTATTCTTGCCTGGAGAATCCCACGGACGACGGAGCCTGATGGGCTACAGTCCGTAGGGAGGCAGAGTCAGGCATGACTGAAGCAACTTAGCACGCAAGCAAGAAGAAGATTTTGGTGCCCACCCCTCCAGTTCAAGAAATAATTCCAAACAAATGTAAGCGGCCAAAATAAATACTGAAATTCTAATTGTGTTTTGGTTTTGTTCCCAAGACTTTCAGATCACACATGTTTAAAGCAGTTCATTGGGACTGCATTTGTCCCAATCACCTCACCGAGGCGGCCTATCAGCTGGTATCTCATAACCTCTTCTAAAAACAAGCATGAGCATCCCTCAGCACAGCTGCTTGGACCAAGTGTGGACACCTGACCGGCTGAGCCAATCAGAACCTTGAGCAAGAAAAGGTCTGTGCAAGAGACCAAAAACGAATAGCCTGACAGTGCTAGGAGGCTGGGGTCAGAGTCCTTGCGACCAGTCAGGACAACCAAAGGGGAGCCAAGTTACGAAGGCTTGCAGAGGAAGCCGGACTAGAGAGGGGAAGAGGGCAGACTGGGGGATGAGGGAGAGGCATCCCCGCCGGCAGCCTGCAGGCTCCCAGCTCCGGGCCCAGGGCTGCAACTCCTGCCGATGCAGCCATGAGATGACTCCCCGTCTCCCTCATCCTCCTGCCCAAGCATGAGAACAGCCGCATCAGAATCACCCAGGACTTTTTCGAACTGCAGACTCGCTTTCTCTACCCCAGAGCCACTGTATCTGAGTCTGCATTTTCAAGAGCTCTCTGGTGATGCACTTGCTCATAAGGGCTACTGGCATGAGAGTTTTCCTTCCTGTTAAGACACCCTGCTTGGCAGACTCACCCCCACCGCAACTCGGCCTGGGTCTGCACCCCGAGTTCCCGGGCCCAGGCTCCCCACTGCAGCCTCTCCACCCCAACGTCTCCCCAGACACCCAGCCTCACGCTGGGCCTGTCACCTGACAAATCCAGCAAGGAGGGAATTAATCACTGCCATAAACCAAGCTCCTGCAGCCACCCAGCTCCTCCTCTGGGGAGGACTGTGTGCCCTTCCTCACGGAGCCTGCCCAGCCGCCTCCTGGCCTGTCTCCCTGCCTGTGGCCCCAACCTGCAGGCACTCCAGAAGAGTCTCCACTCATGACTCGGGCCGTGGATCCACTTGCCCTTGACTTGCTCAGCTGCCACCTCTACAACCAGCTTTTGTACCCTGAGCGATTTCTCCAGCTCTGGTGGCAAAGGGGTTCTCCTGCTTGTCAACCCACAGACGGTCTTGGAGCTTGGCTGCCAGAAGCTTGTCCCCATGACAGACTCACACCAAAGACCTGGACATGAACTGTCCTTCAACCCCTGACTGGTACCCAGGGACCAAGGACTCGAGGCACCAACTTCTCTGCCAGCATCGGTTCCAAGACTGAGCTGCAAGGCCCTAGACTGACATGACCCTCCTCTGGGTAAGGATGGAGGCATTCTGGGCCACCTAACTCCTCCTGGCAAAGGGCTCTGGGGACCCAAGGACAGCCAGGCTGCTCCAAAGCTGGGTCTTTGCACAGTCTGGGTGGGTCCACGGGTTCAGAAGGAAGCTGCAAACTTCCCGTGCTCCTCTGGGGCCCCTGCCTCAAGCTGACCGCTAGGCATGTATCCAAATGCAGGGAGGGATCCTCTGGAAGCACATGACCATGGTGACCTGCATCTGATTGCTTCCGGCGCCTTACCTCCTTGAAGCCTCACAAGAGCTCCAAGTCATTCTGAAGGTGGGATATGCAGGCACAATCATTCCCTGAGCGAGAAACCAGCGCTCAGAGAGGTAAGGGGTCTACCCCAGGTCACTGCAGGCTTGGTGGAACTGGCCTCAGATAAAGGGTTTCTGACCCCGGTCAAGCATTTGAGTGCCCCAGTCAGCTGTGCTCTCTTGTGCTCACTCTCACTTCCCGCCACTCGATCCCTTCTCAGCACACTCCACTCATCTCCCTTCCTCCTGCCACAAAACTATTTTTCATGGTCACCAATGACCTCTCTTGTGGGTTCAACAGTGTTCCCCAGAAAGATGTGGTCAGGTCCCAACCCCCCAGTCCCTGATGTGACCTTATTTGGAAATGGGTTCTGGGCCGATGTCATCAAGTTGAGATGAAGCCTCACTGGATTAGAGTGGCCTTCTCTAATCTGACTCATATCCCTATAAGAAGAAGGACACTGGACACAGACACACGGACCCATGCGGGAAGAAGGCCGTGCAGAGGGGGAAACAGAGACTAGAGCGGTCCATGGCCAAGCCAAGGCCCACCAAGGGCTGTGGACCACAAACAGAAACCGGGAAGAGACAGCAAAGACCCTCCCCTTCAGCCTTCGGAGAAAGCACAGCCCAGCTGACACCTTGGTTCAGACATCTAGCCTCCAGAACTGTGAAACATACATTTCTGTTGTTTTCGGCCACCAGTGTGTGGTCAGCAGTTACGGCAGCCCTAGGAAGTGAATAGCATCTCGGCGTTGCTGAAACCCACAGACAGTGTTCGGCGTTGCTGAAACCCACAGACAGTGTTCATCCTTGGTATTGCTCGACATCTCAGCAGCACATGGCTCTCCGTAACGCTGCCCCTCCCACAAACGGGCTGTCTCTCAGACACTGCGCCCTCCCACTGGCCCCCGTCCACTGGTCAGTTCCATGTGTCTCCTCCATAGGCTCATTCCTCCATCTGAAGTTGGGGTTCGGGAGGGTTGGGTTGGTCCCAGGTCGTCTTGCTTTCTTGGTGGTGGTGGTTTAGCTGCTAAGTCATGTCCGACTTTTGCAACCCCCATGGACTGGAGCCCACCAAGGACTCCTCTGTCCGTGGGGTTCTCCAGGCAAGGATACTGCAGTGGGTGGCCATTTCCTTCTGCACTTGCTTTCTTACTCTGCTCTTATTGGGAGAAGAACTTCATTCACCTATTCTCCAAAAACTCCGAGAATCTGAGTCCAGCCCTCTCCCCAAGCACCAGGAGTTCACGTCCGATTGTCTGTTTGGTTCTCTCCAAAGCTCATGTGCCAAAAGTGAGACTCAGAGTCTTCCCCATCCACCCCGTTGGGTTTGGCAGAAACCTAGGTGTCACCCTTGACCTCTCCTTCTCCCTCACCCTCTGTCTGACCTCTCACCAGGTCTTGATTTACTTTAAAAGCATTTTGTCTTTGCAGTCAGTCCGTTTCTCCCGTCGTCACAGCCGTGTGCTAGTCTGAGCTCTCGGCATCTCTCCCCGGGCCAGTGAGGCAGCAGTGTGCTTTGCTCGCTCCTGTCTCCCCTCCCCAAGGATCTTAGTTCCCCGACCGGGGATCGAACCCCTGCCCCCGACACTGGCAGTGTGGAGTCTTGACCACGGGACCAGCAGGGAAATCATCCCATCCCCTCTTGCTTCCCTCCAACTGTACCCCAGCCAGCAAACAGAGCAGTCTCAAAACACAAATCTCATCGAATCCCTGCCCAGTTTAGAGTCTTCACCATTGTCCCCCAGTTTGTAAGACAAAGAACAGAATCCCTGAAAGGAAAAAGGAAGACCCTGAGCGACATTGCCCCTGACCGATGTGGAGACGTTTGCTAGCTGCTCCATGTCTGTTTTCTCTCCTGTAATATGGAAGTCAAGAGAGCACAGAGCTTTCAGGTTTATCGGTAAATACATGTGGTGGTTAGTATGTGCCTGGAATATCGTATAGTAAGGCTTGAATTGAGGCAGCAATTACTATCATCATCATCATTATTGCACATTCATGTCAGTATTTCCAGGCTTCCCACTGCAAAGTGTTTTGTCCTTGCTCTCCTCACCCAGACATGCTGGCCTTCTTTCCTGTCTGCTGCCACAGGGCCTTAGTACATACTTGGCATCTGCCTGTCATATCTTCCACCTCACTGCCAAGTTACCTTCCACTCAACTTGCAGATTTCAGCAGAAGTGTCCCCTCTTCAGCGAAGCCTTCCCTGACCTTCCAAGAATTAGGCATCCCCCCCTCTGCCATCGTAACAGCATGTTCTCTTAGTTGTGTCTACCATTCTTGTGATTATACTTGTATTGGGGTGATTTGTTAACATTACCAGCTTTATTATTATTAACATTATTATAACTTTATGAACATATGCCTCTGTGTCTAAGGGGCTTCCCTAGTAGCTCAGACAGTAAAGAATCTGCCTGCAACGCAGGAAACCCAGGTTTGATCCCTGGGTCGGGAAGATTTCCCCGGAAAAGGGAATGGCAACCCACTCCAGTATTCTTGCCTGATAATTCCATGAACAGGGGAGCCTGGTGGGCGGTACAGTCTATGTTTGCAAATTTGAACACAACTGAGCAACCAACACTTGCAGTTCACTTTCACTTTTCTTTGACTAAACTGAAAGCTTCGTGAGTGCAGGGCTCATGCCTGAGTTTCTTGCCATTTATCCCCTATCCCAGCACAGGGATCTTCATCAACCCTCAAAAACTGACTGCACATTTAAATGAATACTCTGTCCATCCAGCTCACTACCTGCAGCAGATTTTTCTCTAAGTCCCTGTCTGTCCGTGGTGCTGAAACCGCCACAAGAATGAGCAGGAAGAACCACCAGATGGAGTCTTTGAGAGCAAGCCTGCTCTGTTCCAAGCAATAGGGAAGTAAGTGTTCCCTGTTCCAATCCTTCTCTCTGGGTAACCCATTCTAGAGGCGTTAAAACCATCTATCATGCTGTTTATCACAACACATCCAGATGCTCTGAGCAGTAAAGCCATTCACAACACACAGGCATCCCATTTCGGAAGATGCTCCCAGTCGAGCCTTCCCAGGGGATCTTTCAGGAGAGGAGAGACACCCATCTGTCTACAGAGCTCCCTTCCAGCCCAGTGACAGATGTCGTGGGACCAGTCTTCAGAGCCTGCAGGTAGCGGACCCTGAAGGGGAGCCTTGTCCCCCTCAAGCTGACAGCAAGTTCTGCCTTTGTTCAGATATTAGAAAATGCCAAGCATGGCTTGGTTTTCCAGAAGACTCTTCCCTTCAAAATAAAGAGGGCTTCACGGGGTGTTTCCCCCTCTGAAGTTCCAAATAAAATCAAACTTTGCAAAAAGAGGTTTCTGCTGAGAACAAAATCAAGATCCAAAAGGAAAAGAGGCTTCCATCTCCCGGGTCAATGAGCCAGATCTAACAAGATGGAGTTTAACTGGAACGAGTTTAAGGTTCTCCACGTGGGTCCAGCCAGCTGAAAGGAGAACAGGGGCGGGGGGATGAGCCTTGGCAACAGCCACGGTGACAAAGATACACTCGACTCTGCTCAATAGGAGTCATCTGGCTGCCAAAAAGTCTTAAGCGTTGTTAATGGAAGGAGAGCACCTGGTGGGACAGAGAAGACCATGTTATCCACTCTGTTCTGATCACAGCACACCAGAATATTGTCTCAGCACAGAGCACAGAACCTAATTTTCACAGAATACAGTCCGGCCGAACAGCATCCCCTGGCAGGGAAGGAGGGGCAATTTCTTAGAAGATTCAGCACAGGTCACAGCGCAGGGATCAGGAAACCAGGACCATCTGTTCTAGAAAGAACAAGCTTGTTCGTTTTGTTCAATCATTAAGTTGTGTCCAACTCTTTGCGACCCCGTGGACTGCAGCATGCCAGACTTTCCTGTTCTTCACCAACTCCTGGAGTTTGCTCAAAGTCATATCCATTGAATAAGTGATGACAGCCAACCATCTCGTCCTTTGTTGTCCCCTTCTCCTCCTGCCTTTAATCTTTCCCAGCGTCAGAGGCTTTTCCAGTGAGTCAGCTCTTGGCATCAGGTGGCCAGAGTATTGGAGTTTCAGCTTCAGCATCAATCCTTCTGATGAATATTCATGGTTGATTTCCTTTAGGATGGACCGGTTTGATCTCCTTGCAGTCCAAGGGACTCTAGTACTCAAACACTTTGGACAGGTGGGGAAGAAACTAGACATTCTGGGAGACTCCATTTGATTCCCCTAGAACTAAAGGAGAAAA